GAGGTATGCTTGTTTCTGTGAAACTGTCATGCACAGGACTTTGAGATTTTAGAAAATGTCATGACACCCTTCTGCAGCAACACCTGTCTGAAGGACAAAATTGTAAAGTCTGCAAAGATCAAACTGAGTACTACATTGAGTGGTCAGTATTGTCATTCAATCCAATGAATGAACCAACAAATCACTCAACAAATGGCCTTATCATCATTGATTGATATCAACATTGCTAACAGTCCTGTTCTCACAAACCCCTGATTAATAACTGAGAAACACTATTTTATACTATGCCATTGTCTGGATTCTATTTTTTCAACTCCATGACTGTTCCTGCTGAGCCAAGATCAATAGTGCTGACAAATATCCAGTTGGTTAATAAATTGTCCAGACGTTATAACTTAAATTAACTGACAAATTAACTATTTTTAACTATGGACTATACATGTGCACTTTCAGGATCTCACATTAAGTGAAATCGTGCGACTAAATGTATGTATGTATGTAGGTACCACTGGAACTCTGTGTCTCAAACAGTTGCACCTCTCGTCCAAACACTTCTTGTAACTGTAACCTGATTAGGGATGGGACGATATATAATGTTATTGCTTATTGCTATAAAAGACACTGAGATAAATTTAATGTTTTGAATTTCCATCGTGATAATTGTGAATATCCTCACATGGCTTGACTTGAGAAAGCTGTTTAGCTCTCCAGCATAAAATCCTATACTGCTTTCCTGATTTCTGTTGAACAAGGGGACAAACAGGAGCCCACATCTTTACAGTCATTCCAAAATCCTAAGCTTGTCACCACGGCTAAAGGCTCAGCTTGCTGTTTTATCCCCCCCAAAAAAGATTCCACACGGAGATGAGGTGTCCTATCTGTGATGCAATAAATGTGTGTTTTTTTTAACAAAATGTAAGGTGCCAGTATGTTTTAGTTCCATTTCAAAAGTAATAAGCATATTTACATGATTATCATGATAATATTGTATATTGCAACTGCAACATGGGACTGCTTTGTCAATGTACACATTTATTGTTGTGATCTTGCAAATAGTTTGATTACACACAATGACAGGCAACATGCACATGCAATGCGTTCCCCATTCAGCAAACTCAGTTTGTGTAATGTGACGTAACTGCAGATGTCCTTTTCCATTCTTACTGTTCCAACTGCTGTCAAGCCAGCGAGTTTAAGGTAGTTTAGGGAAAGTGCACCAAACTCACCGGCAGAGCAGGCATGAAGATCTCCACATACAGCTGGGAGAGACTTCATGACAAAAAGACAAACAATGTGTATGTGAAAAACATGTAGAACTGACACTGTATATAATGGATCTGTAACATATGAAGTTATTGGTAAATAGTAGAGGTTTCTGTACAGCAGACTAAAATCCCCACGTGATTAAGACGAAATCTGCTGCTTCTGATCTAGCTGTTAGCAATGCAGTCACAGACTCCATCCTCCACTCCTATGTACACTCCATCTCTATATCAAAATACAGCACTGGGAATGACCTGGCAACCTCTGGGCTCTGTTTCACAGCGAGCAGGAGGGATTCAGTGTTGATGAGGATGGCCCA